TAATTCAGTGATGATTCCCAAATGTCACAAAAAAATAACTTTTCGTGACGTTTTTTAAACGTCATGGAAAAGCCAGAAATCCAAAGAACTCCGTCTTTTCCTGCAAAAAATGCTCTTCTACATTTCGTGACGTTTATTAAACGTCACGGAAAATGTGACTTTTTTGTGACTGTTAGAAACATGTCACGAAAAGTAAAAATTTCGGAACATTCCATCATTTCCCGCCAAAACGTGCGTCAACCTTTTGTGACATTTTTAAACATCACGAAACACAATTTTTTGTCAAACTTTTCGTGGCTTTTATCTTCTATAGTTTTCTTTAATTGTTTTCTTTATTTTAATAACTATAATCTAAATCTTTACAGGTAAACATTTTTTGCATCATCATTCAAGTAAACTCCACGTTGGTATTCTCTTTTGTTCTGGTGTATTTAATTTTCCTTCTATTTAATTATTGTTTGAACATTGTTTATGATTTTTGGGTAGTCTTTTTTTTTTTCTTTTCTCCTTTTGTTTTTTAGTACTGCATATCATAAAATAACTATGATAAAAGAAAAAAAGACATCTCGCTGCTAAATTAAAGTGAAAAGGGATTTTCATATGTTTTTTTGTAAGTTTTTTTTCTTTTCGTTTTCAATTTATTGTTCATTCAATTTTTTTCAAGAGAGAAATAGCAATTTAGTTTTCTTTTTTCTGCATTTCTTGAGGAAGTAGAATTTATGCTATCAAAAGAAGAGAAGATTTTCATCCATCACTAATCACTTTCCAAGGAAATGCTTAGCACTAAATCATTAGAATATATTTCCACTGCAAGACATTCACTAGCCAAAGAAGACAATCATTTGAACACCCTGAGGGAATTGGTTGACATACTTAAGGTACAAGATAGATTAAAAATAGCCAAAGTTCTATAGAAACCATCATGGGTGACTCATTGGTTCATAGAGGTTAATTAAGGTTACTTGATAGGGAACAAATTCAAACCTCACGATGGAACGCCTACTTTAGAAATTAACTCCTGATTCAATCGAAAAAATCAATTAAAATGTTATACTATTTATTTTAATTTTTCGTGAACATCCAAATAATAAATTTTAAATTTCAATGATTTATAATCAATTTGGTCCAAACACAATCAGGAAACCGAAATCATTTCCATAATTTAAAATCTTAGAATTTGAAATCATTTTCTACCAATTCCAAACATCAAACGGAGCATTAAAGATCCAAGGAGTCGTTCTATCCTTGTAATATTGTTAGTCACTCCTTTAGAGCTTTATGTAATCTAGGTGCTAGCATTAATTTACTTCCTCTTGCTTTGGAGCATTAATTTACTTCCTTTTAATATTGGTAGTCACTCCTTTGGAGCATTAAAGATCCAGGAAGTTGAATATCGGTCAGATTAAGCCTACCACCATCATGCTTCAGCTAGAGATAGCTAGATCGATTATCTACCCTTATGGAATCGAAAACGTTATGCTAAAAGTAGGCAAGTTCATCTTATAAGGTCGTAATACTCCGAAGATTTTTGTCACCTGCTTTTTCTATGCAGCATCGTGGTGCTGTCGCAACGATTTCTTTATAATTTTAGATATTTTCAGTCGCTAGAGGAGTCCATTACTCACCTAGAGAGAGAAAAATATCAAAGATTTGAAAAGAGAGGGAACAAGTAGTGCTTCAAACGGCTGAAAGGGGTTTTTCAATGATCTAAATCGTGGAGATTGGCATGGAGTCGATCAATCGACACGATGAATTTAGTTTATCTCCTTTTTTTTTATAGCTATATTATGGAACTTTATTTCAGATTTTATTGTTTTATTTTGAACGCTCAACTTTTTATTTTAAGGATTGATATAACAATTTGAATTTTGTGAATTGACTAGTTGATTCTCTTAATTGTATTATTTAAATATTTTCTTTATTTTCTTTATGCTTAATACTTATAATCTATAGACTATTTACAACTTTATTTATTTATTTGGCAGTGATTTAAAAAATGTTTCTAGATGGGAAATAGTAGTTTTTTTTCCTTCAAAATTGAAATCAACTATTTCTTTTCTTGTTTATTTATTTTTTTAGTCAAAGAGAAAAAAGTCTATTTGATTTTGAATTGGTATGTTTTTATCTCTCCTGTTAATGTTGCATATATATTTTTTTCTTGTATTTTACTAATGGACCATTTTTACCATATCTAATATTTTGTCGTGCCATTTTTTTCCTATTCCTGTTATTAATCAATTTTTTATTTTTACGTTTGGGACGGGAGTGTGCTCGGGGTGATTTTGATTGAAGTGACTTTGACATGTGCTATTATCAAAATCACTTCTCCTTCCATTGATATGTTTGACAAATTAGAAAATTGATTTTAAGAAAACTTAAAATCACTTAAAATTAATTTCTAAGGTATCATTCAATGATAATTTTTGAAAATCAATTCTACTCAATCTCTATTAAAAAAATCACTAAAGGCGTGTTTAAGAGTGATGGTAGAATGAATGATTTTGAAAGAAGGGATTTAAGTATAATTGGTTTTCCAAAATCAGTTAAATGATACTTTAAAAATCAATTTAAAATGATTTTAAACTTTCATAAAATCAATTTTTTAATTTGCTAAACATGATCAATGGGAATAAAAATTTTGACTATGATAAAAATGATTTTGGTCCGAAACACACCCTAAATTAAAGAAAAAAAAAATTTATCAAGAGACAAAAAAAAATATCTTCAAAATATTAAAAGAAAAAAAAAACGAGAAAATCGTTTCCAAATTCCAAAGAAGCAAGTTTAATTTTGAGTTTCAAGAAAATATCCAAATCTTTTTGATACAGATGAATGGCGCCACGAAAGCACGCCAAGGCGCTCACGCAACGTAGTGGCCATCAGATCCACAAGAATTGGAAGAAGATTCCCATGGGACCCTCACCATCGGAATCCCAACAAACCTCCAACGCCATTCCTTCAAAACTTCCTCCTCTTTCACTCCCCCACCCACCAAGAAAATGGAGGCTCTGCTCCGGAGCCTCGATTTCAAACCAACTCCCTACTCCCCATTTGCGGCCCATTTCTCCACACCCATGTCTCAGATCGGTTTCCGCCGGATTTCGAGTTCCGGCTGCCGGGAAAGGCGGGGGTGGAGGGCGGCGAGGTCGGAGTCTGGAGGTGAATCTGCCCGGCGGAGATTGATTGGGTCTGTTGGGAAATGTTTTGTGGGTTTTGCTGCTGCTGCCACGGCCTTGAGTTCTGTTTGGTTTGATTCTCCAGCTCTTGCTGAATCTCTCACCGTCGCCTTCCCTGTTTCTCGTGCCCCTGAGGTGAGCTTGTTTCCTTTGTTTTTGGCTGCTTCAATCTTTACATTTGGGATTGGCCAAGTCCATGTGTAATTGTCTTCAGCTATCGTGGATGGTTATTTTCAGGTGATTGGAAAATGAAACTGAGGTTTAAATGTTAACATTTGGTTACTAGACTTTTCAGGGTATATCTGCTTAGTTTCTGTAGTTTTAAAAGTTTATAATAGTTCATTGAACTTTAATGGTTATGTTTATTAGCCTCTAACAAGTTGTTGGACTTTCAATTTTGTGCTCTGACATGACATGCTAGCACTATATAATTTAAGGATCATGAGACGGGTTGAGAGAGTTTTGTTTTTAATGCAATTAGTAATTACAAACAAACTATTCTTGATTCGCTTTCATTAAGAATTGCTTTCTTCAAACTTTTGTTGTTTTGAAACTTTCTTTTGGCCTTTCCCATTTGTGATTGAAGTTGATGAATGAGTTTTGCTATGTGGTTTTCGTTGTTAGGTGAATACAGTTCAAAGGACTTTGATTGAGGCCTGGGGATTGATCAGGGAAACATTCGTAGATCCGACTTTTAATCATCAAGGTATCCGGCATAACATCATGTTAAATTATCATGTTTGCTTGCTAGTGTTCATGGAAAGAAAGTAAATATGATGAAGGACCAAAGCATGAAAAGGTCCATTATCCATAAGATAGAATTGTTTGGGTTCATATGATAGTCCTTTTCTTCTTTCTAGTGCTGAAGAATTAATGTAATTGGAACAACTATTCCTTTCACATTATTATTCCTCTTTCGCAGATTGGGACTTAAAGTTACAGCAAACAATGGTGGAAATGTTTCCCTTGAAATCTGGCGATGCAGCTTATAAGAAAGTCAGTGCAATGCTGTCCACGCTTGGAGATCCATTTACTCGGATTATTAGCCCAAAGGTGGTTGCTAAATCAGTTGTATTAGTTCAGATAATTATCTGATATTTGCTTCTGCTGTTTATAGTCAGTACAATTTGATTTGACGATAACAACTTGTACATGCAATTCTGAGTTGGGAAACTTTCTTGGTTGATTTTAATTTTTATCTTCAGAATAACTTTCCCATCCATCTCACAGTTTCTCATTGCAGGAGTACCAAAGTTTTAGAATAGGCAATGATGGCAACTTGCAGGGAGTTGGCCTCTTCATAAATGTTGAACCAAGAACCGGCCATTTGGTTAGTAACATTCTTCGAAATCTAATCTTTTATTATGATTCAATAGGTTTCTTGACATTCCATGAAAAAAGGCTTCTTGCACTTGCTTTGAGGCATTCCACATCTCTTGCACAACCAAAAGCATAATAATTCATTGTAAAACTTGGGTCTTTTTCCAAAACTTGGCCTACCATTTAATTTTTCATTGCCCCTTTAGTTTAAAACTTGGGTCTTTTGTTCTCTTCTCCTCTTTCAGAGTTTTGGGTATTCAGTGGTTCTGTCAAGGAAAACATAGAAAATTTGTGGTGCTCCATGATACGAAGGAAAGGCCAAGGTGGCTTAATGCATACACTGAATGCTTTTATTCGGAAATTTGGTTGATAGAAGTAAGAGGATTTTTGAAGGAAGAGGTGTGAGTTGGGAAGAAGTATTATATTTAGCAAAATTTCTTGCTTCTTGTTGGTGTGCTCTTTTTACAATTCTCTTTATAATACTCCATAATTAATTCAATAGGAGTGCATTTTTGCGACTCCTATAGTGAGTAGGTAAATAGAGTTCAGTCGTAACTCTTCCTCTTATCAATGAGAAGTGTTACCTTTTTTAAACAATAAAAAAAGAGTGAAGTGCCTACAAAGGTGCTATTGTGTAATACATCCAATGTACTAAAAGTTCTCTCTTCTTTTCTGGTTATTTCTTTTATCCATTGACATGGCAGATGGTTTTATCAATCATAGATGGTAGCCCTGCTGCACGTGCTGGCATACACGAAGGAGATGAGCTGGTTGAAATTAATGGTAAATTGTTTTTCCATCAGTATTTTCTTCACAATATGTGAATTTAATACCCGACTCCTCTTTAGATGTAAGGAATAGGATGAAGTTTTTACTTTTGTATATTTTTCAAGATTTCTCTGCCACTCAATGCCTCACGGAGCTTGTTCGAGGCAATCTCTTATTTATACATATAAGAGCATGCCAAACTTTAATCAGATGATTGGAGTTGTTCTTCGTCTTACAATAGATTTTTTGTTTACTTCCTCCATGAAATCTGTTCATCGTAGACAGTCTATATATTTTAGTAGATGTAGTTTAGTAGATTGAGGTTGATAATGGTTGGCCTTCAGAGTTATGCTGTTTAAATAAATAATCTGTTTCATCTTTAATGCAATATACAAGTTGACTATGAAGCAACCAATCTGTTCAAAAATTTAAGAAGTATTTAATTTCAGACAATAACGTTAACTTATTAACTTAATTACATGAAATTAGTTGAGGGTAGGCATAAACTGACCTAGATACTCACAAATCATATACAATATACACATGTATAGATAGATCTCACCTCTGATCTGCAGAAATTTTATTTTCCATCTCATTCATACTTTAGCCTAACTTAACTATTTGTGAGGCTTCAGGGGAAAGGCTTGATGGTGTTGATAGTGAGGCAGCAGCTCAAAAACTCCGAGGGCGTGTTGGAACAATAGTCACAGTGAAAGTTCATGTAAGTATCAAATTGTTGTTGAATGCACTGCACTTGAAACAGCATGTTATTACGTAACCATATTTGCTTCAATAAATTGATTTTTACAAAATAGTAACAGTTTCAAATAGCATTATGTATTGATTGAGCATTTTTCTTCTCAGGTTAAAGATATGAGCAACTCGAGTATCAGAGAGGTACTAACCGCTCAGCGTTGGTTTATTGAGAAGTGCATTATTGGTTCAGGCAAAAGCACATCTTTTTTTCCCCCTCCTTGTCTGTCAAGAACTTGACTCGTCTTCCCATCTTTTGAAGCTTAAAATACCTAGAGAACACATTAAGCTTTCTCCGGTATCAAGTGCGATTATCCTGCATAGAACACAAGATGGCCAGTTGTCCAAGACTGGCTATGTGAAATTATTAGCCTTCTCTCAGGTAAATGTTGACCAAAATATTTCTAGAGTCTAGATCTTGATAACTTCGCAATCAAAGTAGTTTATCTGATTATGGTATATAAAGATAAATGACTGATGAAGTCATGCATGATTGCTTATGTGAATTATTTATCTATTATTGACAGACTGCAGCGTCTGACATGGAAAGCACAATTCAGGAGATGGAAAGCCAGGGTGTGCAATCGTACATTCTTGACTTGCGGAACAATCCAGTAATTTTCAAATTTTTCGAAAATTATTATTTTTATTCAAGTAAAAGCCGAACCTAACCTTCACTAATTTAATTGGTTGTTACTACATGTTTCAGGGAGGACTTGTAAAAGCAGGGCTTGAAGTTGCCCAGATATGGCTAGATGGGGATGAGACTCTTGTGAATACAATTGACCGAGACGGGAATATGTTGCCCATTAACATGATTGATGGCCATGCTATAACACGTGATCCACTTGTTGTGCTTGTAAGTTCTTTTCAAATTTAAGCCACATAGTAAACAAATAAGTAATAATAACATAAGTAACAAATGAAAGAGGCAAAATAAAGATCGAGTAATTCCCTTGTTCTCCTGCATGATAATTGTACTGTTTTAATTTGTACACTTATGCTTGGAGAATAGGAAGCATGTTAAGGAGCAATGCCTTCTTGGAAAACTGAATTAGTGTTGAAAGGTTAGAGGTACTCTTGTATTTTTTATTTTTTATTTTTTTATACTTAGGTAAAAGAAATTCAGGGATAGTTTTGATAGCTATGGATGAGTTGAGAGCCTCAAGATTTTGGTTTTTGGGTTATAGTTGCAACTCCCAAAATAGATTGATGATAGGGTATTTGCATTCGAAGGAAATAACATATTGGAACTAGTTCTAGAAAAAAGATTGATCTATCTGAACCAAAATTTGAATACGAAGTCAACCTTATTTAAATAACATAATCTAGAATTCAAAAACACAATCGCTAACATGAGACGTTGTCTTGGAACAAGGAATGGAGGCTCTTCTGATCATGCTCATTGCACGAGAAGCTTTGTTCTATGCATATGCACCTAATAATATCCATAATCTGATTGGAATACAAGACCTCCAATTTAGTTTACATATGCTAGGAGAAAGGCAGGTAAGCCTATTGAGTACAGTTAGTTATATTGTAGCAAGGAGAGTGTTTAATGAATGTACTGTGGGGCCCATTTTATAAGTAACAGACAAGATAGTGTTAATGTTATGATGAGGGCTGTGTTGAATGCTTATTAAAAGCAATAACTCTAGAATCATGCATATTGAATAGAATCAAGAACATAAGAAGAACATCTAACCTAGTGTGTTGGACAACTATTTTATATACCGGAAAGATCTTCCTCTAGAGATAAGAGAACTGAAAATGTTTAATGTATTGGAGACCATAACCTTTGAATCTTATTTAGACTCTTCCTTGAGCCCTATTAAGCCTCGTAAGAGTTATTGGGTATCTATCAAAAAATCCATACTCAATGAAAGTCCATGTTAGATAGGCAGGAACATTTAACAGGATAGGAAGGGTGAAGGAGTCCATGGGTGGATGTTTCAAAGCTTTCGGAGGCTCTGATGTTCTCTTATATTAGGATTGGGAATGAGAGGAAAAGATTTTGTGAGAGAATTTGTAGAGTATTTCTAAATCAAGCACATTAATGGAAAGTACTTCGAAAGCACTTCTAAGTGTGTATAGTCAAACATTAAGTAGATTTGTTATGGAGTACTTTACTGAAGTGCTTATAATTAAAATATTAAAAGCAATTATTATAGAAACACTCCTAAACACACTTTTAAAGTTTCTTTTGAAGATGCTTATAGAAAAAGTATTTTTACTTAAAAGTACTATCTCTAAAGCGACCCCAAACTATTAATATATATGGACAGAATACAAATGAAATGTTCTGCAATGGCTTTGTTTCTCCCGGTCTGTGTTCTTTGTTTCTAGATGGGATAAGACTCATCTCATTTGTTCTTTCACTGTTCCTTTAGTCGGGCAAGTGCTGTGAGCATCTCTTCAAGATTGTATATTTGACTTTTTTTGATAAAAAGATCAAAATATAATATCTTTCAATTTGTGTGCAGTGTTATTGAATAAAGTTGAATTATTATGAGTTAGATGCTGTAATTGTTCTCTTTGGAGTATTTAGTTTGAAAGGAATCAAAGAATCTTTGGAAAAAAAAAAACTTCTAAATTTGTATGAGAGATGGGATGTTGCAAGGGGGTCATACTTCTTTCTTTTTGGGAATCTATCATCTGTGAATATATAACATTCTATGGAAAATGAATCCTAATAATTCATTGGGTATGACGATGGAAGGAATCTAAGACCCAACCCATTTATTATGAGAGGTTGGTTCATGGATGAAAATTTGAAGTGAAGACTGAAATAGGTTCTTGTGTATTTGAGGTGCTTTGAATCTATCTCTCGAGTACTCTCGCTCAAGCCTAAATCCGCCGGACTATTGCCTACCTTCACCCACGTTCATTTCCTCTATTTACTATTTAACTCTTTGGCTAATTACCAATACGTCCTTACTATCCTAATACCCCAATGACATACTTAACCGTTGCCTCAAAAGTTGGTTTTCTTTATTATTTTTCTTTTGTAATCCAATATTTACACTCACATGCATGGGATCTTCAAACAAGAAGAGAATAATCGATTATTTAATTCATATTGTTCACCGGTGCAGATGGATGTAAATTATTTCAAGATTCAGTTTGCTCCATGCTGCCCTGATTTCTATTAATATTTTCTCATTGATGTTTACATTCATATGGTTTCTTAGTATTTAGCTGAATGTCTGTGCTTCAATTTCTCTTTCATGTGAATTTTGTCACATAGATGAAGCATGAACCTTTATAAAAAATAAAATATATATATATATATAAATCAACACAATCATGAATTCAATCAACTCACCGAGTATGAGGTATTGGGAAATAAATTGAATGGTGGGAGGGAAAAATTTTTCCAAATACCTTTCTGAAAATCATCTGATACCAATTTCCTAAGATATATTTAATCTTTTATGTACATTTTTAATACAGGTCAATGAGGGTAGTGCCAGTGCAAGTGAGATTTTAGCGGGGGCGCTCCACGACAACGGTCGGGCTACTCTTGTGGGACACAAGACATTCGGAAAAGGAAAAATTCAGGTATTGTTATTTAGTCAAGAACAGTGCATCATTTCAAAGAACTTTGTCACACAATTCTATAGATGACGAGTGACAATGTCGATAGTTCTACGACCAATGTTTGTAGACTTGGTCGTGCAAATTACTATCCAAACAACATATCTTTCCATAAAAGATCTTTCAGCCGTATAAAACATATGTTTCTACATCTTAAAACCCACATCTTTCATGCATCTAGCTCAATTTCTGGGTTCATAACATCGATAGCTGCGTTCTTGATGCAGAGTGTCACAGAGCTTCACGACGGTTCCGCTTTATTTGTCACGGTTGCGAAGTACCTATCACCGGCACGTCACGAGATAGATCAAGTTGGTATTGTGCCTGATATACAATGTACAGCAGATGCACTCAATTCAGCCAGAGAAGTAGCAGCCAAAGACAAGAGTTCAGCCTCTCCCCTTGAAGCTGATTCTTGTATAATGATAGCTGAGCATGAACTGGACATTCAACAATCCAAAGGAACTGCCTCCTGAAATGATAGAAATTCTTTCACTTTTATAAGTAGAATTTGAGTGTGTGTATATATGTAAGAAAACTAGAAAGGTATATATCAGATGGATAGATAGATGAATAGATAATAGTTAGAATGAAGCGAGAAATTCGACGGTTCGGACGAGATTTGTTCGTACCATATCATTCAGCTGTTTCGGTAAGATCCATACTGAGTTGGTCATTGCTGGTTGCTATGAAGTATACAATTCATTGCCATCTAAATAGTCCCATAGTCATTGTTAATCAATGGGAGTAGTTTCTGTTTTTTTAATCAATTTTTTGTTTAATTTTCATTTCATTTTGAGAGGATATTTTATAAAGTTGTAAAAAGGATTTGTAAACTCATTATCAAACTTGGATAATATACCTTTGTTTATGAAGATATATAAATAAGACTTTATATTTATTATTTAATGAGAAACTAAGTTAATGCCTCAGCCAAAGAATTTACTAAATATTAGAGTACTGCTAAAGAGAATGCTATCTTGACTTTGCCACTTCTAACGCTCGAATTGTTCGAGATATAAAAGAATTAGTTCAAGGAAAAGCACTTGAAGCAATGGAGGAACTCTCTAGCGCACACGGACTAGACTTTGATAAAGTGGAATTTAAGTTGATATTGCAATCCTACGCCCTAAGAGAAAATAGGGAAAAATATATTTTTGGTCTCTGAAGTTTTGGGTGAATGTTTATTTGGTCCTTGAAGTTTGGATTTGATGTCTACGTAGTCTTTAAAGTTATAAAATAGATATTTTTGATCTTGAAGTTTTAAATACTTTTGATCTTGAAGTTTGAGAAATGATTCTAAATGATCCTCAACCATTTTTTTTCTTTTTTTCTTTTTGACTAATATCAAAATGACGTGGCATTTAAATTGATGACTGAGAAAAAAAATATTAATTTAATAATATATTTTTAAATTATTGGACTTTTCTCTGTTTTTTTTCCCAAATTATCTTCCATTTTACTTCCTTCTTCCTGCCCTTATCCGGTGGAACTCACCCCACAACTTCCGACGACCTTTGCCGGCCAAGAAGATAGAACGAAGGAGAGAGGCGAGCTCCATAAGGTGTTTCCAAACTCCGCTCTCCTTAGGATCCGGTCGAACTGGTGGACGATCTGTGTCGAGGAGTTGTGAGATTTTGATTGGACAGAATGGGGGAAATCAAATCGAAGAAGGATTTGACAATAGACTTGAAGAAAGGGAGTTTAAAGGAGTTTTGGCTGGAAATTGGGGGAAATGATGCAATAGACCCCGTTGACCTGGGAATCTTGCTTGGAGATGGTAGAAGATTAAGAAGAATAATCTTGCTTCTAGGATGACCATGGCCATGGAAGATTGATTTTTTTTGGACCTGTTACCAGAAGCTCTCCGTCTCTCTTTTGTTTCATCTTCGTGGCCGGCGAAGGTCGCCAAACGTTAACAAACCGATGGTGAGTTTCACCGGAGAAGGGGAGGAAGAAGAAAGAGTGGTGAGTTTCACTGGAGGAGAGGATGAAGAAGAGGGGGGAAGGGGAGATTATTTGGGGAAAAAAATAGAGAAAAGAAAAAGTCCAATAATTTAAAAATATATTATTAAATTAATATTTTTTTGCTTAGTCATCAGTTTAAATGCCATATCATCTCGACATTATTAAGAGAATGATCCGACTATTTAGATGGAAAACTTCCATAGTTGCTATATTTAAATGATGTCAAGTGTAAAGTAGCATTATCATTATTATATAAATAAAAATAATATATAATTTGTATGTGGGGTTCACGTATTTAGAGGTAAAATTACTCTATTTTATATCTCTTGATTTAATGGTACATTTTATTTCTTATTAAATATTATTATATGCAATTATTTATTTATCGTTTCATTGTTATTTACCCCCTCTCCTTCTCCATTTTCATTTCCTCAATTCTACTCCCTTCGAACTAAATTTCTTCATTTTTTTTTTGTTCATTTTTTCTCTTTTCTTGTTATTATTTTTTGTTCACATCTTTAATTTTCTTTGTTTAGTATACATAGGTATGGATTAAAATCCATAACTTTTTAGTCGGGATATATACTTGAATCAGTTATGCTATGGTAAGTTTACATTTGACATCTTCATCTTCATTTTCTTTTCTTATTGTTTCTGTTATTTCACTTTCTTCTCTTTCTTCCGATCAATAAAATTTGTATATAAACAATTTTATATATTCTTCTCTATTTTCATTTGTAGATTTCTAAAATAAGAAGGAATTTTTATTTATTTTATTTTGACATTTTCATTTCCTTTGTAATTTTATTTTCAAATACTTAAATAATTTTTTTAACCAAACTTAAAAAGGGTAAATACAACATGTTTTATTTGTTATCTATTTTTTTAATAGACATACAAATATTGAATAAAAAAACATGAATAATATATTTACATATATTCAAATATTTGTCATGAACGTATTTGAAAATTCTATTTTATTGAATTATATGTTCTGAACTAGCCATTGATTTAAACAAAATTTCAACTAAACTTAAAATTCAACAATATTTTAACTCAAAAGACAAGGAACAAAGTTTATTTATAATCAAATGATCAAAATTAACAAAAAGATGAATTTAAAAAAGGTAAAAAAATTCAACGTAACATACTTAGAGATTCCCTTTTTTTCATGTGGGATAAATATACCCAAATATTTTTATGCATTCAAGAAAAAGTGAAAAAGATATAAAATGATTAGAATTAAATAGAAAAAGATAATAAAAATAAAAAATAGACGGAAAAGTGATCCACAGTTTAAATGGTGAAGTGTCCATGATTAAAGTTCACACATTCTATATAAAAAGAAAAGGAAAGAAAAACTTTAGTTTGGAAGGAGAAAAATTCAATAAATGAAATGGAGATTGAGAGAAGTAAGTGAAAGGGTAAATAAAGATATAAATTAGAAAAAGGAAAATAAATAACCATATAAAATAATATTTAATAGGGGAGACAATGTATCATTAAATCGAGAGAAAAAATGAGATACAGTGGAGTGGAGTAATTTTGCACCAAATACGTGAACTCCATGTAAAAATTATATATATTTTTATATATATGACGATAAAAGTACTTCACACATGATACAATTTAAATGGAGATAGTGTGTAAGTTTTCATACTACGAGTTTCTATATTACGAGAGGATTAGAAATTTTCCAACCAATCGAAGAAAAAGAATAATATGAATTATGAAGGAGAAGAATTTTAAGAGACTGAGGAATTGAAGGAATGGATGAACTTAGAATGAAAGTAAGTGACACCTAAAAAGGGAGGAGGGAAATAAAGATGCAATCATATGAAATATAAAAATAAAAAAAAATCCATCAAATTTTAAAACCTATCAAAAAAAAATTTGAGCATAAAAAATTTATGTAGAATAAATTTAACTAAAAATGTATAATGCGACTCTATTTAGCACAGGTCTAAATTATCACAAGAGCATAGTTCGACAGTTAAAATATCTTACTCGATTTATAAAAGTTGAACCTTCAATCTCCATTCCGTATTTGTTTTAATTTACTAAAAAATGCGTTGTCCAAATTTTAGAAATGTTCGTACAAAATCGAAGTCACTCTTCCAAATCGATCAATTGATAAACGGTAGATAGAGATGTCTCATTACTAGCCATTGGACAGAGGACATTTTTTGTTTAGTGAAAATTTTGAGATTAATTTCTCTCATGTGGTTGAAAAAAATAGATATTTTTTTTCTTGAAATTATAAATATAAAAATTGTGGCATTAAGATAATTTAAATCAATTTATTATGGAATATTTCTAAGTTATTCAATGGTCAAAGTGAGCATAGTTCAGTGGTAATTAAAATATACCTCCAACCAAGAGGTTGTGAGTTCGTATTTCATAGTATAGAAATTGACACATTAAATTAGATATAACATAACATCTCTATAGGATTTTTTTTAATATTACTAATAAAACTATTTTTTAAAATATTCTAAACCTCAAATTAATTTTAAAAATGATGCTATTTGTTTCAGCTTGTTTATTGTCTCTTCAAGATATGACATACGCCACCTCAATAATAAGTCGTCTCTTGACATGGACCCACATGTCATATCTTCAAGAAACGGCATAGTCATGTTGTAACCTTTAATGATGTCATCTTATCGCGTAAATTACTTCTTGTATCACTCGTTTAATTACTTGCCTTGTCTTATTCTCAATTTCATTATGTTCTCTTTTTCGAAATAATAATAAGAATAATAAGAAAAAACAAAAAATTCATGATGCTCGTCTTCTACCTCTTTGGTTTGTCTTCTTTGGTAATGCCTCTAGTCAAACTTACTTGATATGCATCAAGCAACGCACATCATACCCCGATGACTAACTGATGAAGAAGGGAATCTCCACTTAAACATGTGGACTATATATTAAGCTTCATAAAAATAGAGAACAAGTGGAGAAATGAGGTTCAAGGGAACATGAAAATATGAGCTCCATTTCAAATTTCGTCTTATAATTTCAAATTTCCATCTATTTTATTTAAATGTCCAATATATTTGCATACATTCATATCAATTTTGTCTGATCAAGAAATTGATAAGTTTGTGAAGCTCAGACTGGTATTATCTAATACCGACGAATGGAGGGATCTGCAAAAGAAGTAACAGCTTCGATTCTCAAGTTAATACTTCTCTGTTTTATTGTTGGAGAGATAATAGTTTTGCAGACCTAGCATAAATGAGGTGAAAATCTCTAGTTTTATAGTTGAGCTTCTGATTTAACCTCCAACAAGTTTACAACAGCTCTCCGTCAGCTCTAAGAATTGCAGTGTGTTGTCTAAGATTTCTGTTAGAGGTTTGTGCCTGCAGATACTTTTGAAGGTCGACTTGTCTTGTGAAGGTCGACAAATATAGCGAACATGGGATGACTCAACATCACTTACCAAACTAATAGGGAATCTCTCGAGCAATGAGTCACGTCCAGTTCTTTTTACCATTGTTACGAATGATTAACTCTTCCAATGAGCCAAAGTGAGCACATAGTTCAGCGGTAATTGACATTATCTCCAACCGCGAGGTTGTGAGTTCGGTCCCCTGGCCGATTAAAAAAAAAAAAAAAAAACTTCCAACGCATCACTCGTCGACACGTGGTAACCCATAACTAACCTCCAACGAATTCGTAATTATTTTCTTTTAAATTTACGAGGGTATTTGAGTAATTAACAGAGAAACCCCTGAAACTAAAACCCTCCAATTTTCCCAAATCATAATTCATAACCACTTCCTAATTCCTTTCTCCA